AATGAGAACGTAACGATAAAACTAGTGCTTGGCCAGTAACGCGCGAGATAAAACGTAGCGGAAGAGACACAATGTGAACGTATGTGACTGTGTCGAGAATAACCTGTTCACCAATGCCGGCCGACCCGCGGCAAGGAAAGAAACTGACTCTGCGAAGACGTGTATCTTTTCCAGAGAAGGGAGAAAAGAGAAGCGAGAAAAGAGAAGCGAGGGAAGCACGGTGGAAAGATTAAAAAAAAGGGTGTGTTGGAGAAAAATGGCTAAAAGTCGGAGGAACGACAGTCGGAGGATTTAAAAACGAAAAAAGGTCGACAGAGAAGTTTATTATATTCTTGAATAGCGTGCTCTCGGGGGCCGAGGACTCGCGGAAACACGCAATTTTCATGATAAAGCAAACAATAAACCGTGTCCTAGACGAAAGCGTAATAAAAAACAGGCTGTCGTGCAGAGTGGACGGTCGCTATTATGAAAACCATTTAATTTAAGAAAGGACGCCGTTATTAATTTACCCGATGACACTTGGAACATCAACAAAGAAAAAGGGAAAAAAGGGAGAGAAAAAAGTAATGATGCCAATGCAATGGCATTTGGGATGGGACGCGATTGAAAAGGAGCAAAGGTCGGGTCAGATTATTATTAAAAAGGCACCAGACGCTGAATGAAACAGAATGAATGGAAGAACGGGCTGAAACGGGATGAAAGGAAAAGCAACGAGTGAATTAAAAACGACGAGGAAGTGGTCAGAGGCGGTAAATAAATCAAGAAACGCCGCGAAGAAATTAACTTGGTAGGGAAAACGGAGAAAAAAAAGGATAGATCAGAAGTGACAAATTTTCGGTAGAAAGCAAGCAGTGGATGAACTTGAAAAAGAGACAAGGAAACAGGCAGAAGTAAGGAGAAGCGTAAACAAAGGACGGTTGACTGTTTATAAAACTGTACAATGAGGAAGGCGATAAAAAGCAGCGGCGCATGAAAGAAGAGAGGAGACAAAGGAGATAAACTCGTGTCAACGAGCACGAGAACGAGCAGGAAGAGTCGAAATTAGAAATAATGTTCGAAACACCGGACAGACCGATGAGTGAAATAACAGAGGAACGTAAAGCTGGCAGAAAAATAAGGAGGATAGGGAGAACGAGAAGAATGGCGGAGAAAGCGAGAAGGAACGCGCGACAAGAGGACGATCAGTCATTCCGAAAGACACGAAGGCTGCAAATAACTCGTACTCGGTGGTACCGGTCAAAAGCATCGGCGGATGTGTTATGACGCTCGTCCCTCTTCTCTCCGCCATGTTTTTAACGATCCTTGGTGAAACGCGGACAGAACGTACGGGAGTAAAAAGAACGAGAAAAAAGAACGAGATCGTTCTACACACAGAAAGAATCCTAAATCAACCAGGCTCGTTAACGTCACGTTACCGCTTTTTATTACACTTAATCCTTCCTCCATTGAATCGGGTGTTTTAATTCGCAAATTTTTTGTCATCATAGCGAACTTGAAATACGTTGAAGATCGCAATAGATGGAAGTAAGATAGATCGAACGCGTTAGATTTACGAAAACTGAGTTAGAACGGGTTCGAAGCGGTTGGGTCGAGTTGCAACGAATTGAAAAGAATCGAAGCGAATCGCAGTGAGTTAGAGCGAATAGAGAAGCAGATCGAAGCGAGTTGAAACGAGGATCAATGAGTGCGTTAACCAGCTACTTGGGTCAAATCAAAACGAGTAGCAACGAGTTAGAACAACAGGATAGAGCGAATAGAAGCAGATAAGAGCGGCTTCGAACGAACAGAACAGATTAGAACGGATGATCGAAGCAGATTCGAACAAAATGAAACCTATCGGAGAAACTTGGAGCAAATTGAAACCTACTAGGACACATCTGCAGAATATATAATTTATAATTGAATACAGAACTCGTTCACGATAGTAATAATTATCGATATGTAATAAAATATAATTTTCCTCGTGGGCTAGAAACAATTCTGCTGGAAGAATTATATTTAAAGCGGATTGAAACAAATTGATTATAAGGTTGAAGCGAATCGAAGCAGATGAGCGTAAAGTGGAGCGAAATTGAAACAATTCAATACCAAACAAAACGAGAAGTTCGAGTAGTTGTTAAACCACGTGATCAGAGCTAAACCATTCGAGTTTGTTTATCTATGAACGCAACGCATAGTATTACGTAGAAAATTGCTTAATAGGGACGAAGATAAAAGGAATTCTACAGTGACCTAAAAGGAATGCTTGATTCGCTAATAACCTACTACGCAACGAAAAGATCTACGAGGTTCGTGTATGCCATCGCGAGGTCTCTCCCTTTCGCTCGCCTCCAGTGTTGTAATTTTTAATCATAGCATCCGCGTGAACGGTTCCTATGTACAAGATGGGAATGTGGATTTCGCTATACAGTGAAAGTAACGGGTCGTAGACTTGCATCGTGGGAATGTCTCATGAAAGGGATGCAATTATTGTAAACAACTGCTTTATAACAAAATCCTCGTTATTAATACGATTACTTTTTCGATTTCATACCAATTTTGTTCTTCAAATGTTAATAATCCTTTTGCTTGTTGAAAAAGGAAGAATAAAATTCGGACTAAAAATTCGGAGACTGCAGCAAGCAACGCATGTATTTCATTTAAACTCGAAGCAATGAACACGCGTGATCTCTAAAATTATTTGTCTGAATGATGCAACAATATTTTCCTAAAAAAAAAATAATAATAATAATAATAACGATAATAAAGAAATAAGTCAGACTCCGAAAAGTCAGTTGCGTCAGTAACGCAAAATAAATTTCGTGATGCCATATTTTTCTATACCGTGCACGAGCTCATTGGAGCTCGTGTATTAAGAACTTCCCGTGTAAATCTTTTACGAACTATGCTTTTACGACCTTCCTAACGTCGTACGAAATAAATATACGATCTGAGAAGTATCACTCTCACAACTAACTACATTGGTAATTTGTGAAACCTACATTGATAGCCATACACGAGTCACTTTATGATATGTTAACCTATTAATTCGTAAAACCGGAGCAGTTTACACTTGCGAGAATATAAATAAGAAATGTATTCAAATTTTTTTTTATATACTATTATATTTTTATACCATAAAGAAAAGAAAGAAATAAAACTTTTCATAATTCGATTAGTTGAATTTGAGGAGTGGCATTCCCTAATTTAAAAACTCACCATTGTACAGTACAGTAATGTGATCGTATTTACATATTATTATTATATTTTTATGCAATTTTCAATGAAAATTTATCGAATTATTATTAACTTTGTCATATATTGAAAATACGTTTTTTTCTTAATTAACAATTTCGTTGCTATCGACGCATGCTTTGTATCGTTTTAATCATTTACATAATACTACTAACGTAACTGTTGCATCTCTGCAAAATCACTTCGGAAAAAGAAAAAAGAACGACAGTGAATAGCGTATCGAAACGTTATTTAGAAGAAAAGGCACTTTTAACGAGATATAATTGCACAAATGAAGTAGCCGAATTTTTTGATACTAAATGTGTCGAACCTGTTTTTTTAAATATACCGATATATTCGTTTAAATGGATCACACTGCAGATATGTAACTGACGTAACAACGAACTCGACTCACCTCCTCGTCCGACAACGGTTCCTCGTAATCCGATTGCGAACCCTTGAACACAAAGATGCATTCCGATAAATCCAATTTGCGCGTATTGCCGAACTGCGTCTGTCGATCCGTCAACTGCTTCACACAAGTCGTCTCTAACATATTCTTCGTTCGTTGAACCACAATTTTACTGCAAGTGCTGTAGTTTGTAAATAAGCGTTTTGTACTAGAACATTCTGCAACGATAAAATAAATATCTTCGTTAATGACTTGACTTCGTTTCTTTCTTTAAAAGAAAAAAGAAAAGAAAAGAAAACGGATTTAGGCTAGTATTTTCCAAAAAATAATTTCATCCATAGGGATACATAAAAATATTATATACTAGCCTAACAGGCCAGTAACCGCGCAGCAACTGGAAAACTGATAAGCGGTATCGCTAACGGAAGGATTTCCATTCATCATCGAAAGTATGAGTCTCTAAATCATGCTACTTCATTCATCCGTGTACACGTGATACCGACCACATGGCCAGGTACTTATAACTTCATTTATAGATACGAGCGGATCTTTAAACGAATACGGCGGTGAATACAGTATGGATCGAATTATCGTTTACGTCACACTAATGTACTGTACACGTACGTGTTATCTTCTTCTACATATATATATATATATATATATATATATATATAGATAGATAGAACATGACGTAGCTGTGTACAGATGCATTTATGTATATATCTATACGTATATTGACATTGTTTCGATACCAGCATGTATTATAGGTTAGATTTTTCTGACTCGTGTCACAAAGTACTTTCAGATGGAAGTACTTGTTTTTCGAGCATTGTTTTAATCGATGTTACAGATAAAAATATTCAACGGAACGGAATAAATTGTCGTAAAATAATGTAATGTTGTGGATACGGAAGTATTGAAAACATATCGGAGGGACGCGTTTAGGTTAAAGAGCGAATTCGAATTACTTGCAGAAAAATAATTAAATTATGTTAAATAGTGGAAAACTTACAACAGGTTTCTTTAATCTGTAAAATATTACGTTGATAAAATAAGACAAATATATTAAAATATTCGTACTTGCAATGGAACACAAGATTTTTAAATATATATAGGAACACGCACCGTAAACGAACAATTTGAAATGATGTTGCTAGCGCCATCTAACGACGATGAATATAACTAGCAGCGTAACTTCCAATTTGAAAATTTGCGCATGTATTTTAATTGGTTCCTATCAATTGGAAAGATGATTAAATAATAAGTTTTGTATACAATTCATAACTGTTTTTAATTACAAGTGAAATATGAAGTGAATAGAAATAGTTTGCCCTTTTTATATAGATTATATCTATTATAACTTCTCAAGTAGAGATTCATATAAAAAAGTGTATAATTATATTTCTCAGAGATTCAAGAATTACATGCCCTCTTATAACAAAAATAGAAAATTCAGTTATAATAGGAAAAGTTACTCTAAGTCTCCATAGATTCATCTTGTTTTCTTAAAACAAATGATGTGGTCTGCTTCAATATAACATCTCCTTTGCCATTACCCTCGGACTTACAACCATATAGAGAAATTTCAGGTACCTTTTCTAATAATTCAAGGCTACCACATTTACGTTTTGTATCGTTTAAATATTTTTGCGTTTCTAATCGAATAGCGTATTCCTTAAAATGTGTGAGAGAACAATTTTTTGCTGTTAATTTTGCATTGTCATGAATCTAAAAATAACAAGATATTATAATTAAATATCGTTTTGTAACTACATAATTATGGTAATCAAGACGAAAATAACATACCTGTATACCCTCTGCGCAATTTGTAAAGTTGCAATTATTCATAAACACTTCTCCGTTACTATAGATGACTAGACCTGTCCCAAGACTGTCAAAGAGTGTGTTTTCTATTATTAGTTTTGCATCCGGTAAAACCACGACTCCTAATTTCACCATACTCTGATTTAAGGCACATATTTTACAATTAATTATTTTTGTGGTTCCAACTCTCACTATTACAGCTGCTCTAAGATCACCCACATCTACAGTAATATTTTCTAGTAAAACCTATAAACACATATTCGGCATAGCTACAATTAATCGGAGACACGATTCGATATATAACTTACTTCACTGCCAGAGAAATCAAGCAACGACGGTGCAGTTTCTGTGTCTTTCATATTAAGAATGGTATGTTCTAAGCTATCAATTCCTCTAATGGTACCTCCATCTTCCAATCTACCAGCTCCTTTTATTCGATGAGTTCCTTTTCCAACTATAATGACATCTCCTGTGTCGCACGTATGTAGAGTTTCTAACAAAGACCCAGATATTCTAGAAAAATGTATAAGAATCAAAAATCAATAGAGCTTTTTCAGTACTGTCGAACTTACTTAAAAAATAATTCTGGGGATAAAGAAGCTTGAACTTTGTTTATTTTTGCCTTCATTTCCTCAAGAGTTCCACCGAGCCACACAAAATAGCCTTCCTTGCACGTTTCTGTACTTTTTCTTTTCTCTATTTTATCATCCAAAGACGAGTTCTGATTCGTAAGAATTTCTCTCATAGCTGGGTTTTCAAGAACTTCCATCTCCCTTTTAATTTGTTGCAATCGAAAATGAAGTTTCATCAACTGACATGCTGTCCCCCCATCCACTATATCATTCTCTGATTCTTCTCCCTCAGAAATAGTATCCTCTAGTCTTGATATCTTCTCTTCGATCTCCCTTCCTTCCCTTACTAAACCTCTAATGATATCGCTAGTTTCTTTACTAACAACAAGCCTTTTCATGTCGAAGAACAATCTAATTCTTGTCTCCAAATGTACAGACACCCAATCGACGTTATCATCGTCATCTATGTCCCATGGCATCCATAAATATTTATAAAAAAATCTCAGCTGATCGAGGCAGGACGCAGTACCCACCATATCCAAAGCGGTGTTTTCCTGATTATGAGTTGGATAAAGCTCAATAAGTGCTACATCGTATTTTTCAGGTAACTGAATTTCATCTTGAACAGCAGTTATTTTCACCAATGCAGATAGATCACAGAAATCAACTTGCTCAACTTCTACTACCACAATAGTAGGATAATGAATATGAAAATCTTCGCACACTAAACGTGGTATTCTCCATAATGCTTGCCAGCCGACAGGTTCTAGAACAAGTTCTATATGGTAGGACCATTCTGCCTGAATTTGTGATGCAGGTACAATTTCTCCTCTACTAGATAAAATTTCTGTTAATTCAACTAGCCTTTCTTGAAGACTTTTGTCAAAGGTATATATCTCCATTGATATGCGTTGCCTACAAAATGAACAATTTTATAAAAATCGATCGATAATATTAAAAATCTATGAATATTTACCTATCAGAGTTACAAATTTTCTTCCTATAAAATTTTATTGCAAGTTATATTACTAAAAATGTAAATTTCAGCCTCCAGGTGTCAAGATCAAGAGAATTATTATTAATAGTGATAAATTAAAAACGAAACTTCTGTAATAACTATAGTCTAATTATTACAGCTTTAGGTCTAATAAATTTGTGAAACTAAAAACTAAATGCGTAAAAATTTGATTGAAAGACGAAAATTAGTCACACGTTCTCTTATTAAAACAAATCGAGATCTAAGCTATATTTTCAAATATTATTAATATATCAGATTTAATTGAATATACAAATAAGTGAAAGATAAATGTTTATTTTACGTATCAGTGACACATTTTCAATTAACGTTATGACAAATTAACTGTTATAAAAGATTCGAATTGCTATAAACGTGATTGGTCGACTAATCTTCTCGATTCTCGCTTTCAACAGTTATCGATCTATCGATACCGATGATATCTGACAAATAATAAGTTTATTTTATCATAGAAATAAACAGTGCCTTGTTTATGTAAACAATTGGAGAAACTGGAAAAACAATGGGTTTGTTCATATCATTTGAATAAATAATTAAGCATATATTTATCTTTCAAATATTAATGACTCTAAGGGTATTGACAATTAATATCTATGTACGTATAAATAACGTAATTATTCTAATAATCTTTTAAAAATATTATTTAATAGACAATTGCAGCTTAGTAAGTGTCGAAGAAAATATGGAACAAAGTTCTAAAAACGTAGAGGATAAGCTTTTCGACGAAATTATCGGACACATAGAAGATATTTTGTTAGGTACGCATTAAAACAAGATATTAAATATTCGATTTTATAATATAAATTTCATTTTTATTTTTAGAAGACGAATTTCACTCTATTCAAAAAAAATTTTTGGATAATTATTGGGATGTTTTTGAACCTGTAGAGGAAAATAAATTAATTTATACAGATATATTCAATGAATATGTAAGTGCTCCAACAATAAGAAATAACAATTTTTTTATACTTGCATATTAATACATGATTTTTGTAGAATAAGGCAGTGGAAAATTATATCGTTAATTACTTACAGAAGCTAATACCACATTTTAATATTGACACATTTTTAGAACATTTAAAGTAAGCGCTATAACTTTATAATTATATAAAGTGTATATAAAAATTATAAATATGACTAAAAAGTTTCTTTTAATGGTTATTGAATGATTTAGTAATAAGCAAAATGAATTGGAAGGTGAAGTGTTTGAAGTGTTATCAACCTTCACAGACTTCATGTCCTTCAAAGAAATGTTTCTTGACTTTAGAGCTGTAAGTAACATGGTTATAATAACATGGTTAAAAGTAAATGTCGCGGTGGTTACATCCAAGTTTTTTTCAGGTAAAAGAAGGAAAGGTTCAAGATCTTAGTTGTGGAATATCTGTTACATCTCTCAAAAGTAATACGAATGACAATGATTCTTTTGGATAAAAAATTTTCTCAAAAAAATAAATATTTTAAATATACTAAAGAAATAAATTACCTGTTCACTAATTGTATTTCTTATGTTCAATTGTTATTTTTAAAAGTCAGTACATTTATCGTATTTCTAATTATTGTTTAACGAAGTACAAAGATATATACATTGTATTCATAAATTCTATAAGAAATAGAGGCATTGTGTATTCAACACATTGATCGTTTTTGTGCTTCGTAAATCCAGTATTCGCACAAATATATCTGTTGTATTTACTTAAAATACTGTATCGAAAATAAAACAACAAATATAACAAGTTTGATTCAGCACATGAGGATCTCCATTTGTACAAGTTTGCTATTCGTTTCATTTGGCATACGATATGGAAGTGTTCCTGCGAAACTAGTTAAAGCTCGCGCTTGCTCCCGAAGATCAAGAAGTTGCTGTTTCCTTGCTTCTTCATCACCTGGTTCCATCGATCGTAATTTCTGATATTGACGGTAAAGTATTGTCATTGTAGCTAAAAGGACGTCGGCTAATGTACCAGCTACTTCGGGTGGTACACGTCGTATTGCGTTTACTCTTTCATCGACTTCTTTGATATGCAATGGTAACAATTTCGCCTCTGCAATAGTCTATAAACAAAAAATTATATATTAATGACATAAACTTCAATATAGCTATGTACAATCCTATATATCTTACCCTAAGCGCACTTTGATATTGTTCATTATGAAATTGATCAAAGAACACCATTAAGTGCTTTAAAGTATAAAATGCAGATACTAATTCGGATGGTGCTTGTATTTCAATGTTTTGGTACCTAAAAATATATATTTATATATGTATTTGACAATTTTCTAATAACGGTGACGTCGTGGATTTCAATATTACCTTCTGCTTATCTCTGTAGCAGTCACCTGCAATCGAGATCTGAGTGACCCTGGCGAAGTTTTTTGATTAACAACTTGCGCCAAAAGCGTACACATTAGACTAAGAACTTTCTCGTGATTGCGAGCAAGATCATACACTGTTACTGCATCTTCTAAAAGACCTTTTCTATATAATGTATCAGCGCTTATGTTTATAACATCTTCTGTATTAATTTGAAATTGATCTAAAATCCCTGGTATCCAACGATCTTCTACTATCTTTCCGATTAACTGAGTTCTGACTGCTGGAGAGGTATCAACTACCATTTCTGCAGCTGATGCAGCAAACATGTTACGATCATGTGGATCTTTCATAGATCTAAAAAGTAATTAGGTAATTAAAATTAAATTTGAAAATTTCGATGATTATTTGATTTTCTATACAAACCTTAATAAGAATAGATAATGTAAACATTCCTTTGGATCTGTGGAATCAAATCGTTTGACGTACAATAATATTAATCTGGCAAAATTTAATCTTTTAGCAGGAGTCTTATCAGCAGGATCAACACTTATTAAAGGTGCTAGAACACTTTGGCTTACTCCTAACAAGTTATGTTCATGCATAGCAGCTGCTAAATGTACAGCATGTGGTAAATGCCTTGCTCCCGCTCCTCTTGCCAGAAATTCAATGGCAGCCTCAAATTGACCAGTCAAAAATAACATTGAAAAATATACAAACGGTTGTTCATGAGCATGATAATATGACTCTCCATAAATTTCTGATATCGTAGTTTGTAAATAATCCAAGGTCAACTTATTTTCTGCATCCGATTGATCTCTAACTTGGCACAGTTTCAACCATAAATAATCATCAGCTGTACAAATTACATCAGAGTGCAGATCATCAGGTTCACAAGGAACTAATGCACAATATGCAACTCTTTTGTATGGATCAGTAACTGATCTAACATGTTTCCTATACTGCAATTTTAAATTTGATTCTGCAGAACTACTAGGACGTCTTTGGGGATCATTACAAGCTTCTTCCAAGGCAACTCTAAATTCTGGAAATTTTGTGTTGTATTGATTAAGACATTGCAATGCAGCTTTGTAATCACCAACCCTCATACAATAATACACTAAAGGCCATAATGGTTTATCTTCAACCATAACATCTTCTAAATCTTTCAGATTTTGTACTTTAACGCTAACAAAACTTTTAACTAATGGCACAGTGCCTGGAATGCCACCCCTTTTAGCTTGAGCAGGGTTTTCATTAATAACAGAGTTCATAAATTCCTTATATCTATCTTCTAAGTACTTTCTTGCATGTAACACAATTTCTTGTTCAACAATAGCTGTACTTCTTGATTTGATTTGATCTTCTCTAGGAATTGGTCGAATGTCTACCATACGTTTAACCATTTTCCAAAGATCCACAATTTTTTTATCATTAAACGACTTTGCAGCTTCACAAAACGCATTAAACAAGTTAGGTTTAGTTATTCCCCTAAGCACATGATCATTATAATTTTGTAACTGTTTCACATAAGCTACTTCTATATCAGATAAGCCACTAATCATGGAACCAGCTAATTTAGTACGTTGTGGAGTACCACGTAAATCTACAAGCTCCCCAGACGGAGCTGTCATGGCATTTATTATCTCAAACCGCATTTGTTTCCATTCACCCAGCATATGTTCCATTTGTTGAACTCTAGTAAGTTCAAAAGTCTGAAATAATTTCATATAGTTTATACATATACACGTATATCCTAAAATATTGCTTACAAGGAATATAATAAAATATCTTACATCTTTATGGACTTGTTCAATGATTGACAATATAGCATTTTCCTTCTCATTCCTAAGGTAACTAACTATATCTGTATCTGCAATAGGATCTAAAGGTTCAAATGTACGTCTTGCACTAAGTGAACTTAATTTCTGCGAAATCTGAGGTAAATCAACACCACGTGAGCCAAGCAATAGATGTCTAAAATTATAAAATATTATATATATTAAAGAAATCTGAAATGTATTGATGAAATAAATTTTATTTTAATTAGAAAATGTATAAGCACAAGACAAATTACTTTGCTCTAAATGTCAGTCATACATATATACATATTACTAGAAATAAAATGATAGGTATTATCCTGAAAATTTTGGCGCCAGAAATTTATAAAATTTTTAGGTTATCTGTGACATCAAGCATAATTATTTCTACATGAATGAATTTTCTATTAAAAGTACATGACATACAATTAGAAATCGTTTAAAAATTTTATGTGCGATAAATATACAAATATTCTTACGCCTGTACTTGATTGTCTTGAGTACCGGTCTGTGTGACACGAGACCAGAGTTCGTTGGAGGCCTCTAAGATTTGACGAAGATTTCTCTCAACTTGAGGAAGTTCTTCATTGCTTTCTACAGCAGCAGATAATCGTTCCGCTGATCGCAATAATTCACTAAAGCCCGTGTCTCCAGATACTCTAGAAGAATTCATGGTTAACATATCGGTGTATCTAAGATCGTTCATATTTAAAACACAATGTTCATGGATTCCATCGTCTATAAGTTAGCGCACTATCCAGTTAGAAAAAAGACGAGAGCATTCACGCTCGTAGTTTCAGAGTAGAGATGCTGCACCATGCGGCCAAGTGCTGAGGTTAACTAAATTTAGCATATACAAGAACCTATAAAAATAGGGATCTGCCCTGTTTGGTTGGAATTTAGCATATACAAGAACCTATGCTTTTAAGCCTAAAGTTAGAGATCTGCTCAATTTTATTGTACACTAGCATAGACGAGAAATTATTTAGCTGCACGATTCTACGGAAAAGTTCATATCTACTTTTCTATCCGAATTTTTTTCGAGTATTCTTTATACAATCGCCAACTTATATATATGTATATATATATATATTGCTATGTGTAAAGTATTTTTTACACTTAATTTTTTACTTTCGTCATTTATTTATTGTTAGTCATAATCATTCGCATTGTCTCTACATGTTTTTGAGCAACCAAACAGGGCAGATCCCTAACTTTAATCTTAAATACAAAGATTCTTGTATATGCTAACTTTAGTTGACTTCAACAATTGGCCGCATGGTGCAGCATTGGTTTGAAAACAACCAGATCCATAAGCGTGAGCACTCTCATTTCCTCTCTGGTCCAATATAAATTGTAGGGACTTTTGATCTTCTCATAAATTGTTTAGTTTAGTTTCTTCTTGGGACCAAGAGATGACGTTTTTATGGAGCTAACTACAACATTTATTGCCCAATAAAACATTTTCTTTTAGCATTTCGCTCTTTTTCTTTTATTGACGCTTTTCTCTTCCAAAATTTTCTTTTTTGTATCTCATACTTTTCTCTGTTTCTATGTTTTTGTGCCAACAGCACATGGTCATTCACTATAGGCTAACCGTGCTTAAGGCAGCCTGACTTCATTATTCTTATGTGTCGAGATCTATGTATGCACATGGTCGTGTTATAGTTTATGGTTATAGAACCTGGACTTCCGGTACGGTTTATGATTAATGTTTATAACATCCATATTAACCAAGCCGTGTGTGCATAGTTTGTTAACGAACAGTATCTTATTTTCTTTGACAGAAAAATATATAAATAATTAGTTAAATACATTTTTTCCTATGCAACAAAACCAAACAATATGTTGACGACCAAAATATTCTTTAGGAAAACTAAAGGGGGAAATGTGTTTAAGGTATTAAATAAAATCAAAAATACTTGACATTTTATGATTTGTAATTGATTATATGAATGCAATCATATTCATTTATAATGCGGTTTTTCAAAGGATTAAATATGACAAAACAATTATAAAAATATTATGATTTGTTAAAGTTTAGTTTTCTTTTTAGACGGTTAGGGAGCATTACCTTAGAGATGATATTCATTGTGGATCTAAAGCTTGTGGAAAGTGCGTGTACAGAACTCGAAACATAATTTTAGATGACGAGGATTCCAGTGTAAGCAGTTCTAAGATAATGGAACCTTATTATCTATTAATTGATACTAATATTATTTTAGATCAAGTGAGTATTTTTTTAATCAAACCTGTTTAATGTTTACAATGTAATGTATTATTATATAATCTTTATTCTTCTTAATATAAAAATATATAATTTCTAAGATTGACATTTTGGAAGAAGATATTATTTGCAATGTCATTA